AACACCGCATCGGTGACCTTCTGTCTTCACATCGGCTAGTCTTCGATTTTGCCAATGGCTTTAAGTATGTACCAAGACACCAACTTACAAAGAACCAATAACTACTAAGTGTTGCTTAGGTAGAGGAACAGATCAGTGGGTCATCACCAAATCAATAGGTGACCCAACAAAATCACATATTAGTTTGGTTGGTTTTTTCTTTGCAATACCTATACAACATTCGTTTATCTTTTTAACATATATGCCTCCACACTACACCAAAGATCGTGAATTTATTATGTGTTTCATTTGAGATGAGAAAGAAGTGAGAACATTGACTCTGCCATTTGACCATGAAAACATCCACAACATGCATTCTCATCAACTGTTGTCGGTTTTCCGCATTCCAGCCTTTTCCAAACACATAATGTCTTCAAACGTGGTATCTTAATTTGTACTTTAGTCCAAAAATTATCACCAATTACCATTCAACCCCTCAACACACCCCACTTTTGATGATAAAATTAAGAGTAAACTACAAATTTGGTCCATGTGGTTCGTCAAAAACAACACTTTTTTGTCCATATAGTTTCGAGATTTTATCTGGTTTGTATAAACGTCTGGATTTGCTCCTTTCCTCTTAAAAGTCCCATTAAATGAAGGGGATTTCCCTCATTCTATTAGTTTTTTTTTTTTGTCTTTTACCCAATCAAAAACCACAAAGACTAAAATCATAAAAAAATGTTTTTGATTAACTAAAAGCCAAAAAATCGATAAAATGACGAAAATGCCTCTCATTTAAAATAATCTTTTAGCAGCTGTTAGAGTGAGGAACCAAATTCAGATGTTTTTGCAAACCACAATGGTCATCTTAAAAATTCAAAACTGCAATGATAAAAAATGTTATTTCCGAAAACCATAGGACCAAATGTGTAGTTTACTTAACCACAAGATTGTGCCCAATTGGTTTGAGCTTGGACTCCAAAGGTCAAAAGTACCTGGAGGTCCCAAGTTCGAATCCAAGTAGGAATAAAGATCCCCTTTGTGGCCACGGAGGTTCAAATGCAGTGACTCCGAGCTACCCGCAAAGTGGGTGATCGTCATGGGATCAGTCGGCTCGCATAACGGATTGAATATCCAGATTAATAAAAAAAAAATGTGTAGTTTACTCTAAAATTAATGTATTATTTTATGGCTAATAACTTAATATTTTTGGATTACTTAAAACATGTATGTATGCCAATTGAAACTTCATATAAAGATTGGTACAAATTAAAAAAATAAAAAATTAAATCTTATATTTAATTTGGTTGGTTGGTTGGTTGAGGTTGTCTTTTTGTGCATACTTTCCCATCTCAATAACTTCAAATTATGTATCCTTTGGAACATGTATTTCATGAGAAAAACGTTATATACATATAAAGTTGAAAATTGTTATGAAACAAAATTATTCTCTCACATAAATATAAAGAGTTTGGTTTAAAAAAACAATGATCAAATAAGATAATGTGAAAACGGTTAAATTACATTTAATTTTGCATTAGACTCATGTGTAAGATCCATGTGGTCACGTGCAACCTTGGCCGTGATCCGGATCTCGGGTCCACTCGTTCGCACGTCCTTGTATTGACCGTAATACACTCTCGTGTTTGCTTATTTTCACACCATCATCATTTGATCATATATATATATATATATATATAGAGGAGTGATCATATGAAAACCGCCHTYATTTGTGTAAACCGTGCAAACCACCTTCATCTGTCGATTTCATTGTTTAATCTTATGAAATTTTTTCATGAAATTGTTTAATCTTGTGAAATTGTTTCATA